CCCCCCCCCCCCCAAAAAAAAAGTTGTCGACGAGGGGGACCGATATTGGAAATTTTTTTGTGACTGAAATGTCCGTCGGGCACTCCCTATTGGTCGGGCAAAACAAGTTCACCCCCTCCCCCCCAGCTGTAATACCGAAGTTTTGGCCTTGCTCTCAATCGCAGCTGCCATATTATCATCGCTATACCTACACAGACAGTTCGAGATTCAATTCAGATAATTTTGTTTCATATGTCTGTACCCCGGTCCCCATGCAACAATTTCTTATATTTTTCAAGGATCTTTATGAAGTTATGTTTACCCTCCTAGTTTATGACTATGTTTATTTGCATATCATGGTTCACAGGTTTTTTAGAGAAGCATCCAACTTATAAGAATTGTTACAGTCAGCAAATTTTTGCGTGAAAGTTTTTTGTTCCATCTTCATATTGGCAATAACATGCAAACCAACTACAGCGAAATCCTCGTATGAATGATCCATCTGGGGCACAATCAGGAACATTGACATCTTGAAATTTTTCTGCAACCAATCCTAGCATTGTTTCTCTCTCTTCCGTGCAGTTACGTGAAGCTAAGCATATACAAGATATAATTTTGAGAAAATGAAATTACACGGACACATTTCGTGTTAAAACGTTAAAACTGGAAGGTATGGATGCATGGTGTCATGTTAGCAGCTATACCATTTTTTATACAGTGTCAGTGACCTGGAATCATGACTTCCCATAAATTCCGGGAATGGGCAGTGAACAATTAGACCTGTGAAAGAAATAAGTAGCAACTCAACTGGAAAACCTGAATATGGATATCCTAGCTGGCACAATATATGAATTGTATTTAAATATTACAACTTATAACATATTCCTCCAGGGAATGTATAAGAAAAATATTTTACGTTAGAAATAATTTTTGTGGATGGTATTTAACGAAGCCAATGGCAATGCAGAGAAGCGAGAAAAAGAGCCCATGATTATGCCACTCGTTTAACATGCACCCAAACCAGACGTCTAGTACTCTTAGTCTATTAAAATAACGAATAGTTGTATTCCATAACGAATAGAAAATTTGTGCGGAGGCTTAATTTAATACGAATTCAAACTGCTTACCAGGATTTAAAGCGACAAGACTCAAACTATAAGCCAATCCAGCCATGATCAATAGCAGGAATATTCGTCCGGCCATACTACCTAGATTCCGATTTTGTGTGACACAATCTGCCTTCACAGAGTCCAATGTCTGTCGAGTGGAAGTCATGGTTATGGTTGTATATATTTATATACATACTTATGTCATCAGACGGATGTCGCAATGTCAATACGTTATAAAATATCAGTGGCTAAGTACCATTTTGGATTTCCGTATAGAAGTATCATGTATATGAGTCTTATTTTTCTTCTTTTGTAGCTTTGCAGTCCACTCAGCAAAACATGATTCGAGTTCGAATGCCGGGTCACAAATTTATACACACCATTCATTTATAAACATTCTCATTTTCTGATGACATCTTTAATCGGTCTAGAATTTATTGACTTATATTGAGCCTCTTGTGGAAAAGAAGGCAACAACCTATGTAGGTGGAAACGGAGACATAACACTAATATCGTGGGAACGATGAGATCGATATGATGATACCAACGCATTAATACAAGCATTTTAGTCTACTACCGTTTTTTTTTGGAAGAAGATTGAGTTTCAGGACACTACAACACACTTGATTTTGTCTCTATGTCTATATGAAATAGCATTTCCCGCATTCATACAGCACTTCTGAGCAAAGATATAAGAATGTACAACGATCAAGTACTTTCTCCCTTTTACAGTTACAATTATATTCAATTTGCTACAATTTCTTTGAAGGCCTTCAAAGCATATATATTGTGAAAAATACAATTATGGAGAAAGATTGAATCTCAATTGAAGATTGAGTTTCTACTATCGTATGCAGATAAACGTTCAAAAAAGTGTTTTGAAAAGTTGTCAACGAAGTCGAATGCTGTGATAGACCACTCGGTTTGTGAGTAATCGCTCATCTTTTTATTTGATGGGCGGGGGTGGTAGTATGGGTAGTACCCATGCAATATGACGTCATCATAGGTAATTGCATGCGATTGGGATATCGTTTTTGTTTCTAACCAGTACGGACGTCTCCCATCAACCTAAGAAAATGGAAAAACTGGAAGAAACGAAAACCAAGTGTAGAGCTACTATACTATACTATACTATACTATACTATACTATACTATACTATACTATACTATACTATACTATACTATACTATACTATACTATACTATACTATACTATACTATACTATACACGATAATATAACAACGAACTGCTTTGGATCATGTAAGGATAAACAACATACATGATCCAAAAAACCTCCATTGTATATAAGTTACATCAGGGAGCTCTAAACTAAGTAGGAAAGATGCCGAGATGTCTCTATACAAGACTTAACATGCAAGAACAGATAACAAATGATTTCACCATGATCTTTTGTCCCCCCCAGCCTACATTTTCCTTATTTCCCATGATATTTTGCTTTGTTCCCGTGTTAAAATGGCAACTTGGGATATGCTTTCATTCTCTAAGAGTCTCAGTGATTGGGAGCCTCGATTTCCATACTCTTCCTCTGGATTCCCCTCTTAGTAGTGTTGGTCCAGAAAAATATCACTAAGTTCACACTTGAATTAGAAATAATTAACGTCAAATGAAGGAAGAATGTACATAGTCCACACTTGAGACTTTGATCAAGATTGGAGTGAATGTCGAAGGTAGGAGACAGACAGCGAAACAGATAATAACAATCAGCCTTGCAACAATAAAATACGATTTAGCGTGCTTAATTTCCCAGAAAAGACGTCTTCTATCTTGACTATCTTGTTAGAACGTCTACGTACCTTCAAAAATGTTTATACTATATCCTTGAATTTTAGAGGCACTTTTTTATTGAACTTCAAAGCATATTCAAATAAACCGATTTTGTTTTAAATTCAGCAGCCCGCGAACAGGCTATTTTCCATTTTTTTTTCAAAAAATGACATCCCCCTGCGGCTGGATGCTATCACTTCTTGTCGAGTTTTGCAGTGGACGCTCAATTTCGACCGGCCAGATTGCAGAAAATTAAAAGCAATGGACTAATAGAGATAGTTTTGATTGTTTATTTTTGCATGATATAGTATAGATTAAGCTATACGTAATGAATAAAATTCGGTACGTTATTATAATAGCGAATGTGTACAGCTTCAGCTATTTTATGCATGAATCATGGACATGGCATATTCCTGGGAAAGTGCCATCTTGCAGTCTAGCTGCAATTGTTCTCTCTGAAAGTTAGCAATATTAAACTAATAATTATATAGTGATACATTAGCTGTTTTAATATCAAGAAAGTTTAATATCAATTGAAAAATTCAGCGCGACAACAAGCCTCCACGAGGCATGAGCAGCTGCCTCACAAAGCAGGTGAATATCACTGACCCTTGCCGTGAAGTATGCATAAGTAACCTGCATTTAATTAGCATAAATGTTTTATTGAAAATGAGTTTACCACCTCCTGATTGGTTATTTGAGGAATCTATAACACTATATTTTCTGGTCTAAGCAGCATATGGCATTTGGCATAGCCACTCGAAGCTTGTTTTAAAAAGCTGTTACCACTGCTTTACAACATTCCACTGACACAACAATTAGCAATAACAATTAGAGTTTTTACTTTTCCTCCTTCGTCGCCGTCGGTTTTACAAACTGCCATTCACAGTGACCCAAAGCTAAGCATAAATTTTACACTTTATATATACATCCAAGGGTAATTGGGTTTGGATTTAGATTATAAAGTGTGTACGTCTTCTGCAATGCATCTTTCTCTTGTTACATATACTAGTGACCTAAAAACGAACTGTCCACGAATTACGATTACAGTCTGATCGTCGTGACTGAACAGGTCGAGAACGTGGAGTAATCTTTGCAAGACTTTCTAAAGCCATATTCAACTCGGCAATAGTTGACTCCGTAGGGGACTCTGATAAAGTGGGAAGTGGTACAGAAGACACGGATGGGAATCTTTGAAAATTTACATATTCCAGATGTTCGCGGGCTGTGATTGTTTTAACAGGACTAGGCATAGTACAATATTGGCCGAAAGAGCAGGATTGGAGTCTTGAATTTCGACTTGGCGGTAGATGCCGGCCACATTTACACAAGGATGAGTTTGTATGCTCCTTGTCTGCGTTATTATCTTCTGTCTCTGTATCCATGTTCGACTCTTCAGCTTCAGATGTTGTTTCATCATTTGGTTCGTCGTTGAGTTCAGTTATGATACTTGATGGAATACTTCCAATAAGTGGATAGTAACAAACATACTGTTTGTCACCTTGGATCATATCACAAGGTTTTTCAATGTCCGCTTTTTCACAAGGTAATACATTAGGAAATTCTTTGGAAGATTTTTCAGTGTTATTATTAAGATGATCGCCGTTCTCTACAACACATCTCCATCGTTTATTGCGAAGTTGACCAAATATAGTCACAGATTTTCCAGCAGGGATAAAAGACTCTGGATAGCCTGGTACCAAGTAATAATCTTTACAAGTTGTGGCTTCATATTCAATTCTAAATATGCTACTATCTAAAATAAAGGAATGAACAAAAATGAATCTATAATTTGAAAATTTGCAAGTGTCGTGATGAACGACTGCAGCGAATTACCGATTGAATCAAGAGAGCGCCATTAATATCAATTTCACGGACATATTTGTCGATGACGCTTGAGTGGCATGTACGTTACAGAGTTAATTGTGCACTAATTGTTATCGTATTTGAGCCGATCACAAAAACCAATCGTTGATGATAATGATGAACATTAGTAGATTACCGAGTGGTGCCTGTGGTCCAGGCATTGCATGTCTGCAGTGTGACGTAATTTAACAACGCTAATATTCCAAGTAAATTCTATGCAGAACAAAGCAAATAAAGGGGTCGTCACACTTTGTCCACTTTGAGAACGATCTAACTTAGAGCGATCTCAAACAGATTCGAGGCCGGTTCCTTCAACACCTTCTGGCCGAGTGATCACACTTGCACAAAAACTTGAATGAATCAACTGAAATATAACTACCGTCAATAAGCGGGGGGAAATGCTATAGCTCGGTTGTAACCCCTGAACCGATCTGAGAACTCCAATCAAGGTGGTCTAGTTTAGATCGATCTCGAATCGCCGGGTTACTGGTATGAAGTTATGAGTCGGTACCTTTGTTTTGGTTATCGATGCCAAGAAAATCTTTTTCTTGTTTTTCCAGTTGATATAGCAGTTTTTGTTTTTCTTCCAGTCTCTCCTGTATGGAATATACACGATTTAATGTTTCAGTATGCAATATACATGAACCTGTATGGCATAGGGTTAAGTGAAATCAACTTCCTTAACTGGTAAACGCAAATATTTCACATGGTTTTCTTCTAAGTTTTGGTCAGGATTGAAAATTTCAAGAGCAAGTCTTAAATAACAATAATACACTTAAACCTCTTCACAGTGAGACAGGACAAATTTCTGGTAGGGAGGTCAGGGTTGGAAACCGAAAAAATTATCTAGCTTATCGAATGGAAATTATTTTCGAAACCAGTGGAGTAAATGAGAGCAATAGTTGTGTGAAGAGTAGTTTCTTTGTTGTGAGTACAATCATCATTGCAAGTAATTTCGTTAATCAAAGTTGTTTCTATGCAAGGAGGAAGCGACACAAGGAAGCAACACTCACAGCAACTGAGTGGTTCAAAAAGCCCGTTACAATTAGTGAATTACTGCATGATAATTCCCATCAACATTTTAGTCCAAGTAAAAATAACAAAAAAGTGCACAAGAATGCACCTATGTATAATGATAATTGATGAGAATGCACATGAAAATCACAGGTAAAATTGAATTTGATCACTATTCGAATTTCTCGAGACTAGCTATTAAGGCAAAAGTCTTATTCTCGTGTTATTATGTTAATATGGGAATTAATAGTTACATGCAGGTATATTCTTATCAATCTTACCTTCAACTTGGCTATCCTAGGATTACATGGAGTTGGTTTCAGTTCTGCATATGATGATCTCATTTTATTTCCTTCTTGCGTGTCTTTGCGCGATAGTGCACTACAGTGAACAAGATGATCAATCATAAATAACAATCTTTTTGGGAAGTACTTCTGTCTTAATTGCCTTAACAATAATTTATAGTGCTTATACCAACTAAAAAATAGAGGATGCCTAATTATCGAGTTGAGATACGAGTTAAGATCCAAGTTAGGATCCAGTTTAGGATTCCGCAATATTTCTATTCTGGAAAGTAGAATATGGACAGTTGGACCTTCGAAAAAAGGGGAAAATGTTTCATTCATTTTGGAATGTGATACTGTTGAAGCATCATTGCCATTGGTTAGCAGTTTAGTACGTGAGTCTGCGTGGTCTAAATATAAATATTGACCATTTTGTGATGTTTATGTCAGAAGTGTAAAGTCAGAAGTCAATAAATTCGACTTTGGCAATTGAAAAATATCACGAAGATCTAAGGGATGAGAGTCTATGAGAAACTTACGCAAGTGATAGCAAAGGAAGCACAGCCACTATCAATCAAGACAACGATATGAACAGGACAACATAAATGCATGCACTGCACTTACCGTGTTAACATTTGGTTTCCACTCGACACCCAACGCATTACTATTGCTTCCTTACTGTCACTGTCTGTCTCAGACCACCTTCAAATATATAGAGGATTAGCGAAAAAGTGGGGAAAAAAAGTGAAAAAGGAAGTTTCCACCTTCATTAGCACAGCACAGTACTGTACTGTCTCGTGTATATAGCAGCTATAATATAATCACTTCAGGAAGGTATTATGGTATAGTTTTGCGCACAGTTTCTTTATAACCTTCAATCCGTATCAGGGTATCCGTGTTCCCGACTCTGGAAGACAATATTGGCCATTATTGATCATTACAAAATGAGACTTTCAAATAAAATATTATTTAAACACGTAATGAAATGTATTAACTTAACGCTTAAAATTTAATTTAAATCTAAATTGCTCGTATACCTTGTGTTACTATAGTGCGATTTCCGTAGTTTTCCGTTGATCACAAACGCTCGCCTTGTTTCTCCGAAATGGTCAAAATTGAGTTGAATTTAGCTTAGACTCATATTTCACAACTTACTTATCAGAGCATGACAGCGAAACGAGACTCTCTTGCCTTCTGTTCATGTTGACATAAACTTACACCACTCACCTCTAAGTTGTGTGTACTGTAAATAACTTGTCGGAAACGGATGAATGCGTTTGCAAATTCTTAGTTGAGGAATGACCTCCTCCACAGCAACCTTATCTCAACAACTGCTACAATCAAGCCCCAATTACATGAGTCTTATTCTTATAGTTGTATCACATTATATTAAAAACAAAAGAATCTTTTTCAGGAAACGACAAGAACAAATGTGGTTGGCAGATTTTACATAATTTATTTGTTTTTCGACAGGAAACCATTTTCCAAGTTTGGAAAACACGTGACATAAAGTTGAGCGTTTCGTCACCTTCTGCGCCCACTCGTGGCAGTCTCCATCCTCGTTAGGCATGTCCCGATTGTGCTCGGCAACGTTTGAGCAACTTTTTGCGTTTGGAGCAACTTTTTTCGGTTCGAGCAACTTCAAGCAACTTTTTCCTTTTTGATCAATTTTTGAGTAACTTTTTACTAGAGTTCAAACTTTACAGTACGAAATGTTTACATGTGATAGACAACTTCATTTTCTTGCTTCTCATGAGCAAAGACCCTGGGTACGAGGTTGCTTCATTTCTGTGATATTTTTCTGTCTCGTTTTTTTAATTTTTTATGACCTTTGTTTTGTTATTTGTAAAGCTTTTGTAAAGAAAACGTTTTCTCTTTATAATTCCAAACAATTTATCCGGGCCTACGGAAATTGTATAAAACTTTTAATTAACGTATGTCGTGAAATTAACGTAATGAGTACAAACTTTTTGATTTTAATTCGGGCAACTTTTGAGCAACTTTTATGCTTTTTAGAGAGCAACTTTTTTGTTTTAGAGAGCAACTTTTTGGGATTTTATGAGCACAATCGGGACATGCCTAATCCTCGTTCCCAGGGCTTAACGGCTGATTTGCGGAACGCAGCAGCCGTGAACCGGGTTACTGTATACAGTGTTACTGACAAGATTAGGAGACTCAGCACTGGCAAAGTAAGAAAGCATCGAGGTTCTTGGTGGCGGACTGCGAGACAAAAATACCATCTTCTGTTTACGCGTCCAGTTGGTTGATGTAACGAATAGTGGTTATTGCTTGATAAGTAATCACAATTACGCATGGTCTGTATATATTAACCAAATATTAATCTATTTAACGAACTGCTTCCAGCGGCGTACATACCGATTTTGGCCCGGGGCGGCGTTGTCCCAAAATGACACCGGCTCATTGATTGACCGACTCATTTAGAAGTCGGTCTCCAAAAATCTTTTTGGTCGGTCTTGCTTGGCATCGCGTACTTTATACAATGCGCAATTTTAAGACGGACTGTACTGATTTCGACTGGGGGTGCGAACCACAACCACCCTCACACATCCCCACATTTACGCTCCTGACTGTTATACATATAATGCTCTTATTGTTGTAACCATATCAAACTTTGCGTTAACAAAAAGTCGTGTCGTATTGCGCGTATCATATTTCCAACTTTTGCCTATACAAATCACCCCAAAATTTGATGTTTTTTCGCTTACGTTTGCTCTACGATTAGATCTGTGTTCAGTTACCTACGGTATAGGAAAGAATAAGCCTTTAGACGTCTTTTGAATGTACTTTTATGGGGAAATAATACTTAATTCGAAGGGCACTTTTCGTTTGATTATGCGCTATTTGTTATGATTTATATAGGAAATTTGCCTCGCGCGCAGTGTCTGTTGAAGAAAACTGGCACTAGGACCTTATGCGCAGGTCTTTGACTCCAGTTACCTCCAGATTTGAAGTCGTCGTGAAATTTGGCGCATTTTGATATAGCAAATTCGTGTTTATTTATGGCGATTTAGGAAGGGCAAAATGTGCGCAAAGATGTGGGTTTTGCTTGTGTTTACAAGCTCATTAATAATTCAATTGATCTCGGCTGTAGACAGAGGGCTGTAGAAGATGGCGAAGGGACGTCTTAGACTCAATATCTCCCTTATATGTCTTTATATATTGTATACCAGAATCCAGATAAGTGTTGAACAATTGTAATGAGTTTGCGTTTAGTAAAATGTACTTTTTAGTTATTCTGCCTCATTATAATTGAAGTTTATGCTTGGGAAATCTCGAAGCGTGGGCTTTGGTCTCTCCGCCATATAATAATAATAATATTAAATAATGAACTTTATTTAAAGAAGGTCTTACAAAACCAGTTCAGCATAGCTAATCTTATACTCAGCCTAAAATGGAGCGTCTGTAACTTCACATTAAGCGACTGGACACTAGTTTGAGCAAATGTTCATTCATATAGGGCGAAAGTTTGATATGATAATTATCAATAGACACCTCAGGTAGAAAATACTTTATTGAGACCAAGAAAAAACAGCACTACCTACAGCACATACACAAACTTTCAATCAGTCCATATTTACATTGTGGACAACAAAAAACAAGTTTCATAAACTGGCTTTATGCTGAAATGAAAAAGAACTTGTAAAAACCTGATGAAAACTGACAGAGAAACCTGATTGCAGATTGGCTTTATTTACTCCTTAAATATCGTAGCGATCTGCCCAGGCAGGTCAGTAAAATAATTTAGTCAACAGGTGTATAGTTTCACAAGAAGCAATAATACACTATATATTTCCGTCTGTTGGAGTCTTTGAGAACAAGCTGAAAGTAATGATATTGAAACAGCTGGGCTTACTCGTATTTTTTCTTATTTCACAATCTAAAGCTGAATGTAATAATTCACTGGACTGTTCTTTGAATGGGGATTGTGTACAAGGAGTGTGTGCGTGTGACTATGCATGGATCGGAGCAGCGTGCAATAAAATGGACATTTTACCAATGAATAAAAATTCTGGTTATCACAATCACACTGCTGGTGCATCTTGGGGTGGAATACCTATTTACGTTGATGGTAAATGGCATTTGTTCGTTTCGCAGATGGTGAATAATTGTTCTCTAGATTATTATGGTACAAATAGCGAAATAATACGCGCCGAGTCTGATTCCCCAGGAGGTCCCTTTGTTTACGCAGAAACTGCGGTGCCTGTATTTGCACATAATCCGACTGTATGCATCACAAATGACGGAACATTTCTACTTTATATGATTGGAAATGGCGTGAGCCTAGAAGAACCTGTGAACTGCAGTAAGAATGCAAATAGGAAAAAAATTCAAACCAGACTTTCTCCGAAGAAACACAGGAAAAGATCTGTAAGTGGATCAAGTGACATTCATATTGCGTATTCCAGCAGCGTTTATGGTCCATGGAATATACTTTCTGTTTCTTTCACAAATCCATACGCCTCCACTATATTTGATTGCGCTTGGACAAATCCTTCTCCCGTTGTTTTCGAGAATGACAGTGTATTAATGGCATTTACAGCTGGGTATTGTCATGGTGGAGTCGAAGCCATTGGTATCGCCGAAGCCCCTCACTGGAAAGGTCCATATGTAATAAAAACGCTTGAACCTATTTTTCCTAAACCTAGTTTCTGTCTGAGTGAGCAACAGTACGAGGATCCATTCCTTTGGCAGAGTTCACGCGGCTTCCATATTTTGTTGCATGGTATGTGTCCAACGGGTGTATTTAACTCCAAGTACGCATATTCTCTTGATGGTATTCGCTGGACAGTTTCACCGATAGATCCTTATATTTATATTGTGCTATATGAAGACGGTTCTGAAGGTGTCTTCGTGCGCTGTGAACGGCCGCAGTTGTTGTTTAACCATGAAGGCCAAGCAATCTATCTATTTACTGGAGTGAAACCTTTGTTAGGTCATGAGTATACGATTGCTCGACCGTTAGTGTAAGAAGAACTTCTTATAAATCTTTAGAACCATACATAGAATTATAATATGATCTCGATTTTGTGTAAAAAAATAAAGGCAATTCAATCATATCAATTTTAGAGGGAGAGGGGGCCAGGAGGGGCTCTGAGGATTGACTTTTTGCATTTGATATATTCCATTCAGACCGACTGCACTTTCAGCATAAAGCCAGTCTGGCAGAGAGTTTCAGTAAACACTCTTCTGAACTAAGTTATTCTTTCCTGTTTCTTATATTCTAGACAAAAGGGACCTTCACAGGCCATGGTTGGAAGGCGAAATAGTTTACTGGGGGAGGG